GGGTAAAAGGAGTATAATTCAAGAGTTTTTACCAGGCGAATCTGGACGTTACATTATCATAATTAGAATATTATGATTTATAGCCTTAGCATAGTTAGTGATCAAGTGTCAGTATATATACATGGCATTCTCATGTATCATTCATATAATAAAAACCCCAATTACTTATCATTAAATTCTCAGTCCTAACTGATCGCAGGGTTTGTTTTTATAAGTTATTGGTTGTTGTTCAAGGTGATCGATCAAGGGTGAAGAAATTTGGTTTGTGTGAAAAACAAACTTAGTTTCACTTTTCACACGGGATTTGGTCAAGATCAAATTTTTTTTCAAAATTCTCGTTTCACAACACTAATGACTTATTTGGGGTGTTTTCACGAAATCAATTTAAAATTGAGGTAACAAAGACAACCAAATTTATTCTTTTTGTTAACAAGTCTTTGTTTTTGGTAATTTGAATTAAGAATGGGGTCCCTCCACAAAGAAATCTTGTGTTGAGGTGGAGTTTGAAATAAAGCACACAAGATGTTCAATAAAAGTCTCACGCGAGTTAACATTGTTCTTGAGGTTTAAGAACAGTGGTCTTGTTGCGTTTTCTGAAGCGGAAGTGTTAGGGAAATTGTTTGGTGAAAGATAGTGACGATCTTGATTAGTTTTCTTGGATTGAAGATGGTTCTTCTAGTGGTAAACAATATGTTACGGGGAAGAATAATATATGGTGGGTCAAGATGTTGTTTAAGACACAAGTAGTACTAAAAAAAGAGTATGGCTTCCATTTTCCAGGATAAGGTACACAAGTTGGGTGATATGCTATAATCTTGTAACATAAGAAAGGGTGGTCTAGCAAGATGTTTTTTTGGTTATGACAGAGAAAGTAAAAGACTGTCGACATTCAAGTGGTGTTGAGTGGTGTCAAGAAAAGAGTCAAATTGTTATAGTTGGGATGGTATGTAAATTTCAAAGCTATGTATTTTTAGTGGTGGAATTGTACATGGATGTTTCTCAAGGTTGAGTCGAAGGGGGTTCCCCTTCAAGTGCTTAATATGGTTCAAAAAGACAAGTTAGACCACTGGTTTGGTGCATATTCGAGGTCAGAAGAGCCTATAGGTTCAAGTGGCGGGTGACACTAGTCGGGAGGCGGTTGTATTGAATAAGGCATGTCTTTAGCTAGGAACGAAGCTAAAGAAGGTTGGACCGTTTCATAAGAACAAGGTGTGGGATCTTGTTCATTTTTCGAATTGGAAATGAGTCATGGGTTGTTAAAGGTTCTTTAAGGAAAAGACGAGTTTACGATAACCGAGCCCACATAAATCAAAGCTCGACTTGTAGCTGATGGTTATAGCCGATAAGGTGTCAAAAAGGTCGAAAAAAGTTGGGAGAACTTTTTAGTATTTGATTTGGCAAAGACGCGAGTCCCATTGGAAAGTTTTTGGATATGAGTTGGCTATCCGAGTCTTTGGGTTCGAATGCAATAAGGAGTACTACTTTTCACTAGCGGATGACTTTTTGTATTGAAAATAAAGATTGGACTTGGTCTGTAAGTTAGATGGAGATAGTAGGTAATGTTGACTTAAAACAAAAGGTCTAGGGTTATAGTCACCCACTTACTATAATTTAAGGGTCATTGGTGTAAATATGGTAAATGCAAGTTTTGACCGATTAATTAGTTTGGGGTTTCACGTAACTATTTATCTATACAAAGGTTTATGTGGTGTACGAATACATCACAGTAAAATAAAGGAAAATTAAGTAAATTAACCATTAATTTAATGTTTATTTGAAAAATAACCAAAAAAAAATTATTTTTAGCAAAAATAACTACTTGGCTATGTGAATTTTGGACCAAGAAAAAAAATTCTGACAAAAAAGTTTATTTTGAATTGTCATTCCGGATTCCAGACCAACATTCTGGATTGAAATTTTGGATTTCGAAAGGAAAAAAAAACATTGGAATTCAAAACACTTCTGAAATCCGTTGAACAATTCTAGAATTTTGCGAAAAAAAAAATATTTTTTACTTAAATGAGTTAAATCTAACAAAAAGTAAAAACAAACATAGTAAATGTGAACTATACATATCTGACCTTGACATTTTGGAGGCCTTGTACGAAAATCAAAGTGAAACCCCATAAAAATCTTCTTCTCTATGTTCTTACACAATATGTACATTACGATGCTATTCCGGAATTTTTTTGACGAAAAATCAATTGATAAATCCTCTTTAACTATGAATAAATTGTTCATTTTTTTACGTTTAGAACCACCCGATTCAGCTATCTTGATTGAATGAATCTTTTTTTAACTAAAAAAATCAATATTAATAACTTAGCTATATATATATATATATATATATATATATATATATATATATATATATATATATATATATATATAGGGCTAGGTTATAATGTGGATGAACAACTATTGTGCGGACGTGTGGACAATGTTATTCTATGAGAATTACTAATAGAGTAGGTTGTTTAGTAATTTGACTACGTTCAATCTTATACAACTATCGTTATTTTCATGCATTCTCACTAATTATTATTCATTTTTGTTCCTACACATTGTTTTTCTCTCATTTTCATTCTTACAGAATACAACTCAATAAACATTCTGACATAATAATAATAATAATAATAAGTCTATAATAACCTTATAGACGATTTAATTAATGAGAATGTGTGAGAATGACAATAGTTATGTAAAATTGAACGTATTTATATTATTAAACAACATATTTTCTTTGTCATTCTCACAAAATAGCACTGTCCACACGTCCGCACAATAGATGTCAATCCACATTTGAACCTAGCTATATATATATATATATATATATATATATATATATATATATATATATATAATTTATCTAAAAGTTAATGTTTAAAACTCTTAGAGCATCAAACAAAATTCTTGTATTATAATCTTTCTAAGTATTAGACTATATTATATTAATACTAGAAGCTCATTGCCCCTCCCCCCATCCCACCCTAAAATCGATCAATGCCCTACTATGACTCTTCTATACCAAAATTAAAAAAGCTAAAACAATAAAGCATAGTGATAGAATGATAAACACAATTCACAAGACACTATAATATACAAAGTGACAAACCAAGAACATGGTTTTCACTTTCTCTGCTTCATTATTCATTAACTTCATTATGAATTCTAAAGTAAATCATTAAAATAAAAAGGAGCATTTATCTTGGGAGAAAAAGCAGTCAAGCACAATTGAAACCTAGGAAATTTAAAGAGATAATAGATACTAACATGTAGTCAGCGAGTCGGATAGAAAACTTAGAGGAGGACAAGACGAATACCAACGACTCAACGAGATATCAAGATTCAAGACAACAAAAAGATAGTTTTTGGCGAGAGAGACAAGTAACACTGACGATCTACTTGCATCGTTATTAGGTTTGTTAAGGTTTGATGTTTTTGGTGGTTTTATAAAAATCTATAACGTTTACTTGAACTTATATTCAGAACATATGTGTTGAAACCCAAGAAGTGATCATAACAGAATGCGGATTTGGAAACCTAATCTGTAGTTATCGTGTCATTAATAGTGTTACCATCTCAGCAGTCTATCAACACGCTCACAGTCATATCACAAATGGATCCCACCTTTGTCCCTTTTATGTTAATTTGTTTATTAATTGCATGTGCACATTAGGCAGTAGTCGGTATACTATGTACCAGATATGATACTTTTGTATTATCTTAGAGCAATGCTTCTAAGATCCGATTTGACATGTCATACGATGTTTGCCTATAAAATGCATAATGTAACGTCTTACAAAAACACTTATCTTTTCACTGAAATCATATATCTTGTTCTCCATCTCTATGCTTATAATGTCTTACTCTTAGTTTATTTGCTTACTTAGATGTTATTTATTTATTTTAAAATTCATTTGTCATGATTGTTGGAACATAAGTGTATTTTTTAAATATAAATACTTTCCTTAACATGTTGATAAATTATAAAATTTATGATAAGATTTTGATTTTTTTATTTCCATTGACTTTTTCACAATTAAAATTACTTCAAGATTGAAACCAAATGTTACATTGTGTATATAGCTAACTACTAATTTTCTTTAATAATAATACATAAAAATATATTTTATGAAAATACCAACACCATTATTATATATTTTTCCATAAATTTGGAGGTCTTTTAAATCAAAGGTCTCATGTGACTCCACCATTCGCACACCCTGAGGGGCGAGGGCTGCCACTGAAACTATATATGATATTAGTGTATAAAGTTAGACATTTTTATTGAAAAACGGTGATATTAAACATTTCGAAATAGATATTTTAGACATAAGTGAGGATATTTCTTTCAAAAAAAAATTAGAAAAAAACTAAAAAATAATTTCGGAGTTTGAAAATCAAACCCTCAATGAAGCTTTCTTTGAAAAAAAAGGAAAACTGCAATAAAGTCCATATGTATTGCCCGTATAATCGATTTAGCCCCTATGTTTTTTTTTGCAATTTAGTCCTAAATACCGGTAAACGTAATCAAAACGGGATATTTAATGGGTTAACCGGTATCTAACTGATGTGGCAGCTTACGTGGAAGTCATCATGTTAAATAACATCCTACGTGCCATTTAAGAGGGCTAAATCAATGAATCGAGCTCTTCTTCTTCATTCGACAGTCAAAGGAGCGAACGATTAGGGCAAATTGGAAACAGGAAATCGATGTCGAGTTCGTCAAGCACCAACATCAGAATGTGCTATTGTGGAGATTGGGTTGGAATGTGGACATCATGGACTCGAAAGAATCCAGGTCGGAGGTTTTTTGGTTGCCCAAATTACATGGTATAGAATCTTCAAATCTCACTTACATTCTTCTATTTCACTAAATTACCATTATTCTATGTTAAAAACATGCATCTTTCTATGTTATGTAAGATGAAGAGAAGGACTGTGGGTATTTTCGTTGGATTGATCCACCACTATTGAATAAGTGGTATAAAGAAAGAATGTATGAATTAGGAGTTGTTGCTAATGGGGGTGTAGCTATTCCTTTCAGTAACCCTGTTAATGAAGGTGAAATACCTGTTGATGGCCCTATTGCCCCTGTGAATGTTGATGTCCCTATTGCCCCTGTGAATGCTCTTGAACCTGATAATCAAATTGCAATGTGTGAGAATACACATGTGCCAGGTAATGAATTTGGATTCTGCAAGTGGATGATGGTTTGTTTCGTTTGTTTCATTGTAGGGATGATGTATGGTTAGTTTAGTGTAAGTTGTAGGGTATTATGGTATGGTAGGGATGATGTAATCTTTTTGGTTTGTTATCATGATGTAATGGATAAATGTTCTTGTGGATCATGTAATGTTTTGGTTAATGAAATGGCAATATGTTATTATGGTTTGCATAAATGGTGTACACTTGACAAATATAACCATGAAGTATGCACACTTGTGGCTAAAATAATTAAACAACAAACTCCAATATGTCATTACCAACCATGTTAAGGGCATTCACAATGTTTCAATGTGTTTACAAAAGATGTACAAAATATGGCTATCAGTAATTTAAGGGCATTCACAAAAGATGTACAAAAGTAGCATTCACAAAAGATGCACAAAAGTAGCATTCACAAAAGATGTACCAAAATACCCTTACTACCCTTAACACCCTAATCCAACTCCAATGCTGAATTTGCAGAAGTCCCAACACATCCCATCTTCTTCAGCTTGGTTTTAACAATCCTCTCAGAGGGCCTTCTTCTTTTCACAATCCTAAGGTGTACTGGTAATTCCTGGGTGTCATTAATGCCTTCTTCTTCTTCTTCTTCTTCTTCTTCTTTCTTCACTTTCTGGTTGTGTCTCAGGGATAATTTCTTCAGCCCCATCTTCTGTCTCAGACTGAGGTGGATACTCCTCTTCCTGTAAAACATCAAGCAATTAATAACATAAATGAATGTTAACCTTAAGGTAATATAGAGGGTTTACCATAGACATAGGAAGAACTTGTTCAATAGTGTCATTGTAATCATTGAGTTGTTTCATATGTGAATCTGTCAGACTAAGTGTATTTTTAATTTCTTCAATTGAATACCCTGATAGTTTCAAATCTTGCATTGCCTTCCATAAATGGACTAAATATTTTTCAGGAATAGTGTCATCCTCATTTTCAACTCCACCACCTTCAACTTCAGCCACTCCACCACCTTCAATTCCAACAGATGTCTTACTGCCCCTACCACCTCTTTTACTACCCCTACCACCTCTTTTACCACCTCTGTTACCCACTGCACCACCTCTTGCACCACCTGTGTTACCCACTGCACCACCTCTCTTACCCCCTGTACCACCTCTAATACCCCTTGCACCACCTCTACTACCTCTGACACCACCTCTTACACCACCTCTAGTCCAATGACTAATATCAAGATCCAGTCTTGGTCTACCCATTTTTTTCTTGGGTTTGGGTTCTGGTGTGACCTTGGGATTCTTACAGGATGCCTTGTTATGACCCCTTTGAAGACAGTTTTTGCATTGGACTGTCCTTCCTATTAGTAACCTTCATCTTATTTTGGGAGTATTTGTCTTGAGATTCAGTGACATGCCTCTTTATTTTAAGAGTTGGTCTCCCTGACATTCTTCTAGCTAAAGGGGGTAGAGGCTTTATGTATGATGTTCTAGGCCATAAATTTCTACCATTCATAGGTAGTATATTGTTTGCATATATGGCCTTGAACCTGTCCACATTAAACCACTCACTTATGAATTGAACAGGATCTTGTCCAGTGAATAATATTGCACACTGTGCATGTATACATGGGATTCCTGAGATATCCCAAAGCCTACAGCTGCACACTTTGCTTTGTAAGTCAACCACATACCCTTCTAATCCATTCCTGGCTTCAAAAATAGATGGTCCACTTGGATTCACATTCCAATTCCTACAATGACATTACTAAATGAAATCAGAACAATGAAATTAGAATAATGATGATAAGGAACAATAAAAATGCTAAGACAAACCTCAAATCCTCTCCAAACTTGTTCATTTTCTTGATAGCAGCTGGACAAACCACTGATTCCCACTTTTCTGCTTTTTGTAACATATGGTAGAACCTATCTATCATGTACAACCTAATTTCTTCAAACATTGCTAGAAGGGGTTTCTTTCTAGCATCCAATATGATGGCGTTGAAGCACTCTGCAATGCCATTTTCAACTGCCTCACATGCTACATCAGTCCTAAAAAATGCCTTGCACCATGTTTGAGGATGTCTTGCAAGCAAATGTTCATAAGCATTGGGTTTAACCTCTTTTATATCATCCATTTTCCTTAGAAATTCACTATCTACAGTTGAAAAGGAAGTTGCCCAGAACATATTCTTGAACTCCACTCCAGAATAGGTCTTCCTAAAGTTAGCATATATGTGTCTTGCACACTGTCTATGCTCCACATTTGGTAGTACTTCCTTGGTTGCTTCAAGCAATCCCTACAATGTAATGAATACATAAACATATAAGATAATGGTAAGGAAAAACAATAAATATGCTAAGAAATTACAAACCTTATGTTGATCAGATATTACAGTAAACCCTCCTCCACCTAGCAGATTAAGATCCTCTGTGAGCAGTTCCAGAAACCATTTCCAATTAGCTTTGTTTTCAATGTCAACAACTGCCCAAGCAATTGGATAAACTTGGTTGTTTGCATCCCTCCCTATTGCTGTGAGTAATTCTCCTTTACATGTCCCTTTCAAGAAAGATCCATCTAGACCAATTACCCTATGACACCCTATTTTCCAACCTTCCTTGATTGCTTTAAAACACAAATACATCCTGTGAAAGTATGTTGTTTGATCTGGATTTACAGTGACACCCACTTGGACAGTGCTACCAGGATTTGACCTTAGTAACTCATGACAATAGTCTCACACCCTAGCATAATGTTCTGTGAGTTTACCATCTATAATGGCCATTGCTCTACACCTTGTTCTGTAAGCCTTAGACCAAGACACACCACAATGAAATTTGGTCCTAATTATTGATTGCATCTCCTTACACTTCAAGTTAGGTTTCATTATCAACTCCTTCAAAAAGTGTCTTGCTAGCCATCTGGGACTCAGTAAATTTGAAATATTGAAATTTCTAACACATTTGTGCTCATCGACTAAGGTTTTAATCTGAAAAGACTTTTCTTGAGTCATCCAGGAAGCATGAACTCTGAATGGACAGGGTTGAGACTTCATCTTAGAACCACATTTGGCAGTTAATCTCACAGTGTCACACTTCGCAAATTTAATGTTATACCTTGACTTAATAGCATAATTAGTGAGACATTGTTGCAACTGATGTGGTGATTCATACCTTTCACCAAGAAGGGGCTTCATCTTATTCCACTTAACTGATGGGTCATGAATGGGGAAGCCTGCACCAACCGTATCTCCCAAATCAAGATCATTAGCCCCTGATGTGTCATTGATTTCCTCTTCTGAACCAAACCCTTCTTCATCTTCATCAACTAAGTCATTGTCTTCATTAGCTTCATTATCTTCATAATCGTAACTGAAGTTAAGGAAAGCATCCTTGCATCTCTCTTTACCCTGTGTCTTGAAATCATCTTCTTCCATTTCCACATCTATGTGCTCAGTATCGAGCACCTCCTCATCATCTTCGTATTCTTCAGAGTCGTATTCTTCAGATGAATCATGGTGAACTTCCTCTGATTCGACAGCCATTGGGTTTTACCTTCGTTTCTCTCAGTAAAACCCTACTTCCTTCGTGTTTCACTCTGTAAAAACCCTAACTTTTTCTCTCAATTGTTTTACCAGACGTCGAATGCAGTGGAAATGGAAGGGTAAAACTCTCTTGTACACGTAAGGTGCCACATGCACATAGTACTGGTGGGATACCGGCTAACCCATTAAATATCCCGTTTTGATTACGTTTACCGGTATTTATGACTAAATTGAAAAAAAAACATGGGGGCTAAATCAATTATACAGGCAATACATAGGGACTTTATTGCAGTTTTCCCAAAAAAAATTGAAAAGTAGTCTAAAATGTAAACAGCAGTTCAGAACGTGGCATTCGAGAGAAAATTATTTTGTAAAAACTGGAAAAAAAATCGTTATTAAAAAATAAAAATAAAACTCATTTATATAGATTACTTAGTTTCCCTAAAATGAAGGCATACGATTTCTTTTCCTAATTATTAGTTTAAGCTTCTTCATTGGCACAAAATTGCATATGAAAAACCATCGTTTCTTTTTGTTTATAATGACATGATAATTTTCTTTTGCAAAGGTCTATGAAGCTCGAGATTTTGGTCGTCTTTCCAAGAACATGAACTAACCATGTTATAATAATGACCTTTAAAATTACATACCACAAACCAAATCTAAGTTTCACATGAAAGCACTCACAAATTACATGACTTTCATCTGATATATAGCATGAAAGCTACATGTGAAAGCTTTTTCTCTTATATGTTCACAAAACCAAGGAGTCTATGGTGCTTCACAAAGTTGTTGAATCCAATTCAAAAAATAAACCTCTCTTAGCTCTCACTTCTAATCGTAATCAATAACTCAATGCTCTAACTGCTGCTAAAACTTTTGGTTGACAATCACTTGTATCTCCGCTTGGCTTCTCCATAAGCAATCACCCCCATAACAGTCATCGAGTAACCAGCTATTCCTACAAATGTCACGGGATTTCTGAAAAGAAGTATGGAGATAACAACAGCTACAGCTCCTTTCGCATTCCCAAGTACCTGATGATCACACACACACACACACACACACACACATATATATATATATATATATATATATATATATATATATATATATATCAACTTCAATTAATAAGGGTGTGAAGTCCGCACAGTTGTTCAGGGGTCAAGTCTGAGTTCGAAATCCAATGTAAATTGGGCTTCCTTGGAGGCACTGGTCCCTTATGTCAGCTACTGTAAACCTTTTGCAGAAAAAGTATGTGATGAACGTCACTCATAACTTGTTTGACTTTTTCGGTCAAATGGACAAACTATTTTATTTCAATTTTTAATAATAAAAGGAACTTTGATAATATGTGGAGTTTCGCAACAGGCATTGGAAGATTGAAACTATTAGTGTTAATTCTCAATTAAAGTTCATATGAATTTTGAACTTGTAAACTACTAGGTTTGACCTATTAAAGTCAAAATGCATCTTTTTTTCTTGGTATATACAAAGAAAGTGCATTAGGAACCAAGAGGGTGAGAGAGGAACCTGGAGTGTCAATGCACTTGTGTTCTTGGTCACCAAGAAATTGGTCAAGTTGGCTGCATAAGCCATGGTTGAATTGATCAAAATCAATAGCCACATGAATCTATGTTTCAATGCAAGAGAAATGGTAACTTCTATCACATCCGGTTCCATTATAAGTGCAGCAGGCAATAAAACAACGATAGCAATCGGGGACATATATAGCAACAAATTCATGGAATTCAACTTCTCCCTGCAAATAGATCAATCATATGGTAACTGTTAGTGAATTACATATTCAAATTGGGACTTGGCAAAATGTCACAGTATAATCATTGTATTCGAAATAAGATTTTACATATTCCAAATGGGAATTTACATGTGACTTTATAGCAAAATGTCACAGTATAATCATTGTATTGGAAATGGGCTTTTATGTACTCGAAATGAGATTTTACATGTGACTTTATAGCAAAATGTGGCAGTATAATATCATTGTATTCAATCGTTTCTCCTAAATGAGATGTTATTATCTTAACAAGAACATGAATATACAGATTTACCCCTCGGAAGAAAGTAGGATGCCTTGAAGAACTGACTTGAAGGCCCTAGCAGCGGTCGCACTTATGCACATAATAAATCCATACAAATGAAAACTTGGCTCACCCTGCCAAAAATCGAATAATTTATCCTTCTTAAAAGATCAATTTTCAAGAAATCGAAAAATGTAACAATCTATGTGAATTTACATTTATGTGACGAATTACTAACAAATTAAGAGGTTTCCAATTGTACATGTAGTTTAAGATCTAAACGAATTTACTTAAGATCAAGAAAATTGAGCATAGATCAAGATTAAATCAAGTCAAGAACAATAACCCCATAATCTGATCCTTATTTTATCCAAAAAAGAAGTTCAATAATTCAAGAAAAAAGAAAGAAAAAACATACCCCACTGGCAATCACAACACCAGTGACAACGGGAACAAGTGCACCATATGTAACCCAAGCTTCTCTCTTTAAGGTCATCAGATACGCAAACATGGCGGTGAAAAACGGTGTCGTTGCACCGACAGCTTGGTTGAAAGAAACAGGCAAAAATCTAAGAGAAATATTCCCACCGACAACCGACGCACAAAACACAATGCTGAGAGTTGCAATCCTTAAAAACTGCGACCTCGATTTGATCTTCTGAAACGGCACAACTTTGAGAAAAACAATGGAGATGTAACTGAGGATAGCACAAGCTGACATATGACACATTGTGAGAAAAATTGGGAATTTGAAGCCATAATTGGAGAGCAAGAACTTGTTGAGGAGAAGAACACCGATGTTCGATGAGTACCAGAGGATAATGAGTGATGAAATGAAGAACACTTGTGAAGAGGGTGGTGATGAAGAAGATGACATTTTTGTGGGGTTTTGGATGGATCTAATGAAGAAGAAGGAGATGGGTCATCTGTGATGAAATTACAGAAGCAAAAAGGTGGATTTTGATTAGGATCTGTGTAGGATTTGTTTTACGAAGTGGCGATGTTTGTGCCGTGATGCAATGAATCTGTGTCGGGAGGTGGAGATGGAGGTGGTGTGGGGACATGTGTGTGCCGGCGAAGAGAGAAAAAGGAGATGTTTTATGTTTAAACGTGTCTGTTTTCTATTTGTTGGTATCCTTTATCGGAATTATTTTTTAAACGAAGCCAAAGTTGGTTTTGAAAAACTTTCTAAAGAACTCATCATTTTTAAATAGATTTTGTTATGTTGAGTTTGATGGAGAACTGAAATATAAATATAAAGACATGTTATGGTAGAAAATTCGTGGACGATTATACAGGATGTTTTCGTTTTCAAAGATACGTTCAAAATCTAAAAATGGAAATAACCGATTATTTTTACTTAAAAACCATTAGCTTGTCTAAAAATCAAAGAGCTTTTAGTACCGTATGAGGTGTATTAAAAAAACATATTTTTTTAAATGGTTGGGGTTCAAGTCTTATGTGGACAAATTATATAGAATTATGGGCGAGATTAGTAGGGTGTTTGTTTGTCGTTTATTTTTAAACGAGTCATTTTTGTGCACCAATAATAGACTTTGTAACTCTCACAAACCGAAACTCGAGTTCATTTATAATTACATTGTTTTTGTGCTAGTCATTTCTCAATTTGTGACATACTGTTAGCCAATTGTTTGATCTAATCCTCGTTAAAGTTCATGAGATATAATTATTAAGTTGTAGAGTTTGCAAAATTGCTAGATGATGTGATCTACCACGACTTAGGCGATGACCAAAGGGGAGCCGCCCCTTGGGACGGCATTCCGAAAGAAACTTTTTGTAAAATGTTATTTCTATTATCATATGTTGTATCTCTTAATTGTTTGTTTTCCCTTACAGCTTAAATAACATGAATTGGAATTTCTTAACAATTTTAAATAACGATTGGATTGTGATGGTTATATCGAACCCCACAATAGGGTTATAATCAAACTAGCTTTCTTTGAAAAAATTATAATATATTATGACTTTTTAATTAAAAAAAAATCAATTAGTTAAGAAGTTATATATTCATTTTTTACGAGTTGAATAAGAAAATTAAATTAATATAACACAAGATAATTATTTATCTTGAACCATATTAGTTGAATGAATTTAAGCTTAACATCCTGTATATTCTCATAGAAACCTAAAAACAATACCATATATTGTGACATCTTCATTTTCACGGCCAGAAAATACTGATTTGTTTATGCTTTATTTTCAAATCATAGTAACTTTTTAAAGAAAAGTGTTGTGGAATTTGTTCCCAGAAAAACATGATAAATATGTTATCAAAGCATTTCCGAAAAAAATGTATTTTATTCATTTTAATACTTTGGGATGTCATCGTCAATACAGAAACATAAGCATAAACAGAACTTACATTCATTTACACTAGTGATCTACATCTCTTTAATCTCTCGGTGTAGTGTAGCTTTATATCGACACCTGTGATACAAATAAACTGAGTGGGTCATATTGGGAAACCTGGTGAGTACATAGGGTTTTCAACCCACAATAATATAGTTATTATGTTTAAACATCAAACAATCAACCCAATTACTCATCCTCATTATCTTCTTTACTCTTAAGGATCTACCCTAAGAATCACCTACTATTTATTCATTCATTCCTAAGGATTGTCCTAAGGAATAGGCACGAAGTCCATCGTCGTCAGGGTTTATACAACAGGCACTAAATCCATAGTTTCCAGGGTTCATCCAACGGGCGCTTAGTCCATAACTCTCATTTATCGACAATATTATTTGCGGGAGTCCACCCGCAATACGTGCCAATGGGTTTTTAGAGTACACCGGGTGAACATATCGTTCACAACACCTACAGATTGCGAGCCTGCTAGTGTTCCATCAGACCTTCTGGAATAGTCGGTGGTTGTCATCCATACTCTGCTAGATGACGGGGCCAACGCTTAGGTAAAGGCTTCTCTCATTTTTCACCTCTCACCCTCATCTCATGTTCTATATCACCTTTCATCTCATCCTCCAAACTCATCTTTCATCACACATCAACTATTTCATCTACCCATGTTCTACCCAACATATTTGTAGATATAAAATACATATACAGTTCAAATCTGAAGAAAAGTTTAGATCTGAAAAGAAAATAAATATACGGTTCAGATCTGAAGAAAAAGTTTAGATCTGAAAAGATAATACATATACGGTTCAGATCTGAAGAAAAAGTTTAGATCTAAAAAGAAAATACGTATACGGTTCAGATCTGAAGAGAAAAAAGGTCTAGATCTAAAAAACGAGGTTTAAATCTTTCATCCAATATAGATCTCAAGTTATAAAATACATATATACAGTTTAGATCTGAAAAACAAGGTTTAAATCTTTCTTCCAGCACAGATCTCAAGTAAACAGATAATATGCATACATAGCACATAAATTATATAAAATACTTCATATCTATGTGAAAGATGAAAGTAACTATGCACACACCTGATAAGGTGGTGATTCCAACTTGGACGACGCTTCACTTCGACGAAACCGGGAGATTTGCTTGAAAACCGGGTTCTGCCCGTAAAGAGTTTCAAACCGAAAAACTCTTTTTCTCGGAGCCTCCGGGCACTCCGGGGGATTTCTTCAAGTGCTAGGGAAGTTTCCTAGGCTTTTGGGGGTGTTTTGGGAGGTTTAGAGAGTGGGTAGAGAGGGAAAGAAAGGGTAAAAAGTGTGAAAAATGAAGGAACTCTCGGGTGGTATTTATAGGCTGAAAAAGTGCTGAACTCGTTGAGTTTCTGGCCCAACTTCTCGAGTTTTTGGCCCCCAACTCGGCAAGTTGCTGGTCCAACTCGTCGAGTTGGTGCCACGTTTCGTCATCTAGTGGAGAGAAAGCAATGGCTCAGATTGCGCCACGTCACCCACTTCGCTGCAGCACCCTGCCGACTTCTAAACCCCGTAACTTTCGCATACGAGCTTCGTTTTCGATGTTCTTTATATCCACGCGTAGATGGGAACATACTCTATAACATTCATTTAGAATCGGTCGGCTAATTCTTGACCGATTTTAAATTTAACAGTATGAGAAGATTACACTGTTAAACGACCGTGTAAAATTCATAACTTCTACATACGGACTCCGTTTTCATCTTTCTTTTTATCGTTGAACTCCTATTAATGAGATCTTCAATTCCCATTTTGGTTGTGTTGGCTGAAAATCATTCGATCTAAAATTCAAACTCCGGGCTGCACACTACTATGCCAAATCTTAGAAAATTCATAACTTCCTCATACGAAGTCAGATTTGGACGTTCTTTTTATGCATGCTCTCGGTTTAACGTATACTACGAATTTTTGTTTAGATTGCTAAGTCTAAAAAGCACTTTATCGTAAACTCACTTTTTACGTCACACAGCGTCGTGTCGGTTTTGTCGCGGAACTTGGACAGGTCATAACTTCTTCGTTACAAATCGGATTTCGGCGTTCTTTATATCTCCGGAATCCTTGTAACGAACACTACAACTTTCTTCATAGATATCAAGTTTATCTATATTTTTATTTTTGGCGCTTATTTTCATTGTTAATTTATTATAACAATATAAACAAGTATAAAGCCCATAAATTCACATAATTCACATAATACTCGAATAATTCATTTTTAATTACTTCAAAATAGGTTACAATGATTGACCTTGACTATTACATCATCATATTAATGCTTAGCCTTGAAACACGGGCGTTACATATATATAATGACATATCTTGAATACAAAAACTCATAATATAGTAAATGTTAGTGTACTTGCATCTCATATAAAAGCTATGTTTATTCAGATCTGTATGTATAAATGAGGGTGCGACAAAATAATGTTGGAAAATGTACCAAAATGGTATTTATGAATTGAGTGGAAGTGACTTCAATTACCAGGAAAATGAAAGGAATGGAGATTATGATGATATAAGTGTGTCCAAAAGCGACAACCAATTAATACAATTAGGCAAGGATGAGAGGTTGTGTAAGAACCTAAAATTTAGAGAGAGTTGACTTTTAATCAACTATTGACCAAAAGGGCAAAATAATCATTAATGAGAATTTAGTAAGTTTATGAAGTTGTGACTTCATAGAAATGGCCAAGATGAGTTTAAGTCACTTAGAAGAGGTAAGATGAGTAAGTCCAAGAGAAGAAAAAAGCATGAGAATATGTATTTTTGGCCAAAAGAGTAAATGTAACATTCAATTTTAAGGTGCATGATTTCGAGGTTTTCTTTAGCTTTTGGATGAAGTCACAACGTGAGCAATGCCTCTCACATCGTGATCCAGGGTTGACTTGTTGACCTGCATTCCTTGGGTCTCACGACATGAGCCCTTTTTTCTCACGACATGAGAGCGGCCTGATGACCAAAACTTTAATTTTTTAGTATTTAATGCAATGAGAGGGCTATGGTTGTTCACCCTCAGCCTCCTTCGCACTCTAAGCCTCCAGAAACCCTGATATCAATCATTATTGAAGCCCTTAGTCATTTTTGGTGCATTTTCTAGCTTGAAGAAGGAGAGAAGAAGAGGAAAAGAAGTGCTTTAGTGGTGGAGTGGGCAAAGTATCATCATCATCATATTTTCTTGTTGTTGGACTTTTGTAAGTATCAAATGTTCAAACTTTATTACATATTATGGATAGATATAGGATTTTGTCCATATTTCTTCATGTTAAGGATGCTTGAGTGAAGTTAATCCATAAAGTTAGCAACTTTATGGATTCTAAGGGTTCCTTGATCATTATATTGTCTAGATCTGGAAGTTGGTGAAGTATAAGAGCCATGCATGAGACTTTGATGCATATTTTCTACTTTTTGACCTAGAATGGGTTGGGTCATGCATGGTACAAGCATGACCATAAAGAAAACATTTTATGGACCTTAGGGGTCCCCTTTAGCTTTTGGATGAGATGGATATAATGGCTTAACGAAATAAGGACTTAAAATCTTGAGTTTTGGCTTCAGACCGTGGTCACGACGTGACCAAAGATTAACCCCGTATATCATTGAGTTCATGGAACTCATGACGTGACTCTGTGATTCCCACGTCGTGAGGTCAGTTCAGTAAG